GTATTCTTTTAATTTCTACTTCCTCAAAGAAACCCTCACTAATTTCCATCCCACTACATCAGGGTCCCCTTTTTAGCTCCTCTTAGCTCCCTATACTCCTTCCTTATTCTTTTTTCTTTTTTCTGCAGGTTGAACTGAGGTGTGCTCTACACTAAACCACATCCCCAGCCCTTTTTATTTATTTATTTATTTATTTTGAGACAGGGTCTTGCTAAGTTGCCCAGTCTGGCCTCAAACTTGCAATCCTGCCTCAACCTCTCAAGTCCCTGGGATTACAGGAGTGTGCTGCTGTGCCTGGCTACACTTTCTTTTTCTGGTACCAGGAATTGAACCCAGGGGTGCTTTACCACTAAGCTACATCCCCAGCCATATTTTTTATTTTTTTTGAGACAGGGCCTAACTAAGTTATTGAGGCTGGCCTTCAACTTTTGATCTTCCTGTCTTAGCCTCCTGAGGAGCTGGGTTACAGGTGTGCGCCACCGCACCCAGCTCACCTTGATTATTCTTTCTTTGTTTTGATACCATTGACTGTCTCCCTCATCTTTGTCTGTCCTCTCACCTTCAAGTAGCAGTGCCCACGTAGCACCTGGCTGTGTGGTAGAATGTGCCCCAGTGTGTCTTCTCTGTGACCCTCTCAAATATGAAAAGTAACAATTGCCTCATTCATTGCATGCTGTGTGCTCACATCCAGTCCCCTCTAATTCTTACATCAGCTTTAGGAAGTAGATTGCAACACAATTCCCATTTTCTAGATGAGGAGTCCAGTGCTGACGCAGGTGAACTAACTTGCTTAAGACCACCCAGCTAGGCAGTGGCAGGTTCATGACCCTGGATCCCTTCCTCTTAAAAGCTCTTTGTCAGACTGGCTCAACCAGGAGGTTCAAGGTTAGACTTGGAAAGACAGATTGCTTGGGAGAGTGACATGGGGCTGGGCTGCACTGGCTGTTTTTTCCCAAACATCAGGCAAGCGTGGAGGCAGGCTGGTAGCCAGGGAGGTGCCTGAGGTCGCTTTGTGTCTGGGGTGGGCAGGAAAACAGCCTGACAGTGCCCCTTTACCCCTTGTCCTGCAGAAAGCTGATGGCACCTGCAATACCAACTTCAAGAAGACACAGGCAGTGGAGCAGGTGACAAAGGTGCTGGAGGACTTTGTGGACAGGGACCATGGAATCCTGGTGAGTGGGATGCCCATGTGTCAAAGTATATTGGCTTTGGCTGGGTTTGGTGACCCTGGACAGCTTTGATCAGAGTCTGCGGTGATCCAGTAGCTTGGCTGAGGCCAGCTTGTCCAGTGGCCTGGCCTCTGTTTTAGCTGTGGACTTGGCATCTGTGGCTGCCTCTCCTTGGAAGCAGGGAGCTAAGACAATGAGAAAAGTACAAGGCCTCTTGATGCCTGGTGTCAGAATGGCCATGTTGCATTGGCCAAAGCTGGTCATATCATAGAATCAAGCCTTGCTCCAAGGGAAGGGGAAAACACGACTCTACCTCTTGGAATTCATGGGTATTCACGTCATCTGCCTCGCTCTTGTCTGTGCCACCTTAACGCATTCCATCCCTGGCTCCCCTGCCCCCACCCCCATTTCCCCATGTCACTCTGTATTGCCTGCTGGCTAGAGTGTGTCCATTCCTTTGAGGGTACAGGACGAGGTCAGATTTCAAGGTGGCTCACAAAGGGCTCATAGAGTTTCTGTGCTAACCAAGGCACTCTTCCTTTCACACTCAGAAAAAGTACGTGACACGCCTAGAAGAACTTCGCGAAGCTCTGGAGAACTCTCCCTTCTTCAAGACCCATGAGGTGTGAGCCTTGGCTGACATAGGCTTGGGGGTACTGGGGTCCAGGCATGAAGGACAAAGTTATAGAAGAGAAGCCCCCACGTTGGGACCCAGGAAAGGGGATTTCAGGAGGTGGGACAGTGAGGAGCATGGACTTGTCAGGTGGCCTGGAGATGAAGGCTGTCTCTGCTGTGTGACCCTGGCCACTGACTGACACTCTTAGGCTTCAGTTTCCTCCTCTTCAAGATGGGCAGGAACACTAGTACTTTCCTCCCAGGGCTGTGAAGGTGTGAGAGTACCACAGGTTTGGGACATACAAAGGCATGTAACTCCTTGTTCTTACCATCAGTTGATGTCACAGTTTTCTTTTTTTTAAATATATATATTTTTAGGTTGGGACTGTGGCTCAGTGGCAGAGTGCATGCCTTGCATGTGTGAGGCACTGGGTTCAATCCTCAGCACCACATAAAAATAAATAAATAAAATAAAGTTAATGTGTCCATTTACAATAAAAAATATATATATATTTTTAGTTGTGGATGGACACAGTACTTCTATTTTTATATATTTATTTATATGCAGTGCTGAGTATCAAACTCAGTGCCTTACACATACTAGGCACATGCTCTACCACAGAGCCCCAGCCCCAGCCGGTGTCATAGTTTTCCATAGTTGTTTATTTATGCCTCCTTGTGTGGTGGCTCTTGCCCTCCTCCTGGCTCCCAGCCCCTCTCTCTCGAGATACAGGGATCCTCTGAGGCTGTGCTGGGAAGTCTGTGAAGTGGTGGCGTCACCCATGCGCATCCTTTCCTCTCTCCAGCACTTCGGTCTGCCCCTCCCACCCTGCTCACCTCTCCTAGCATCCCTGACTCTGCTGAGGGAGCACTGATCTGGGAGTCAGGCTGACTCCAGTTTAGATCCCAGCTCCCAAGGTGCCTCTGCCTGGGCAGCCATTCTTGGAGGCCTCAGTGACCCTACCTATGGGATGAGTAACAGCAGCACTGCCACGTAGATGTTGCACACGTTAAATGGGCTAATACACTGGAGCCCCGCCCATAGTAAACCATCAGTATGTGCCAGCTGTCATTGTCATGTTTGTTTATCAAATGTCACCCTTGTTCTTGTCACTGCCTTTAGGGTTTACACAGAAGTCACAAAGAGGAGCCGTGGGCACCCCATCTCTTCTGTCCTTGTGTTTGGTTTCCCTTGCCTGGTGATTTAACATTTTAAAAACAGAGTTGCCACAATTTAAGATGTAGGACTTCATGCCAAAATTGGGATTTCCAGTTTTTCTTCATTTACCTCAGATTGCAGTATACCCTGTATGGTCATATAGACATATAAATGTGAAATATGTATACACAGGTGTGAATGTACAGCAGTCTCTGAGACAAATGCAATTACTCTCATTTTGTATGAGGAAGCAGCCACAGAGGGTTAAAATACCTGCCCAAGGGGCTGGAATCGTGGCTCAGTGGCAGAGCGCTTGCCTTGCATGTGTGGGGCACTGGGTTCGCTCCTCAGCACTAGATAAAAATAAATAAAATATTGTGTCCATATATAACTTTAAAAAAAACAAAAGAAAAAAAAACTGCCTAAGTGTGCACAGCCAGTAAGGAGTGGAGCCAAGATTTGAATTCTGACAGCCTGGCTCCGGGTTTCATACTGTCATCACCCTGCTCTGCTGCTAGCCGGGAACAGACCCCCGGCAGTGCCTGCTCCTTCCAGCTAACTGTCTTCTCTCCCCTGCAGGTAGTGGGCAGCTCCCTCCTCTTTGTGCACGACCACACTGGCCTGGCCAAGGTCTGGATGATAGACTTTGGCAAGACAGTGGCTCTGCCTGACCACCAGACGCTCAGCCACAGGCTGCCCTGGACTGAAGGCAACCGGGAGGACGGCTATCTCTGGGGCCTGGACAACTTGATCCATCTTCTTCAGGGGCTCACCCAGAGTTGACCCACCCAAGGCTGCCAGGTTTACTGGATGGTGCCAGTGTGGCTGGAGGAGCCCCAAAATGCTGAGGGGGCCTGAGGTTGGCAATGGGAGAGGTTATATTGTAGCGCAAGACCAGTGTAGAAGGTCTGAAGGGCCCTGGGAGACCAGGCAGCACCTGGCTTCCCTGCAATGTGAGGAATGTGACCAGTTAGGGTCATAGTGAGTCAACAGAACCAGAACCAGGTCCCCTGACTAGCCAAGGTGTCTTCCCAGGGGATGTCAGAGGTCACAGCTAAACCACACTGCCTGAGTTCACATCAGTCATCAAAGGGTACAGGCATGACAGTGCACATGGACACGTGAGTGACCTGTAACTGCCTCCTTGTCAACCTCCTCATGCTCCCAGCTGGCTCCGAGCCCTGGACCTGGTCAGGTTCGTCTTTGGTGCCCTTGAGAGCCAGGAAATCACTTATGAAGTACAGGATTTGCCTGTCCATTTGAGGGAGTGATGGCCCAATATCTATCTGGAAGTCATCCAAGTGCTAAGTGACAGAGGCCAAAGGTGTGACACCATGGGACATCTGCTGATGCTGCCCTAGGGCTGATACTGCTGGGTGGGGCAGCTTACCTATCCTGCCTTGCCACGGACTCTGTGGGATCCTCCCTATTCCTCAAATGAATTCTGCCAACCTGCTGCAGACCCAAACCACAGCCACATCCAGCCTGGGTGCCAGCACTGTGACCAGCACAACCTTGTTCCTTGGTGCACCAGATCCAGCTTCAGGACTTCCTCCTCCTCCTGCCCCTATCTCTGGGCTTTTCTGTTTCCTTCCCTCTAGTGGGGCAACAGGAAGTGAGTTTCCTCCTTGGGAATAAGTGCTGCCTTGCTCCACAGGGACTTTACCCAATCCAGCCCCCAACCCAGTGAAGCACCAGGTTGGCCCAGAAGCACAAGTGGTGCAGCTTCTGGCATGACCTTGGGTTTGCAATTTGGTCAAAACCAAAGACTCCAGAGCCCTGGGGTATTGCAGACAGCTCGTGTCCCAGTGCCCCAGCACCTGTGACTTTTGTTTCCTGGCCCATGAGGATGGGCATGGGGAGGACAGGTACCTACCTCTTCCTAAGCTGGAGCCCTAATGTCTTCCATGGCTGAGGTTGGTCCTCCTTTTCTACTGACCATCTTTATACTTATTTATACACGTGGTAGTTGTTAGATGGGGTAGCTGTTAGGAGGCAAAATGGCTTCGCCCTGCCTCCCACCCATGACAACACCCCAATAAACAGGACAAAGTAAACGCTGTGGTATTCTTCTTTGTATCTGGGAGTGGAGCATAGTGCTGGGTGGGGTAAGGAACACTTTGGGACAGAGGCAGGCTCTGGGTCAGCTGGTTCATCCACTCAGTGCTGTTCTTATGCCTGGCTCTATGCTGGACAATACAGGGGACACAGTGGTGATGAAGACAGCTCCCAGCTCTGCTCTCAGGGGCTCCCAGGACAGGCCACTAGAGGGACAGTGCCAACCAAAATATCAGGCTGGGATGGGAATGCACCTCTTCTTTATCCCATTCACTGGTTGGAAACACTGCACTGTAGTTTCCCTAAGTGACTTTGCTGGGTGCTGCAGGGACACTGCAGTTCTTCCCTTTCAGAGTAGAGATAATAGGTTTTCATTAACCTAAGAATCATAACACTAGGTAGTGCACACCTGTAATCCCAGTGACTCAGGAGGTGGAGGCAGAATTGCCAGTCTAGCAACTCAACAAGACCCTGTCTCAAAACAAAAAATAAAAAGAGTTGGGGATTGGGCTGGGATTGTGGCTCAGAGGTAGAGTGCTCACCTAGCACGTTCAAGGTCCTGGGTTCGATCCTCAGCACCACATAAAAAATATTAATAAAATAAAGGTATCGTGTCCAACTACAACTTAAAAAAAAAAAAGGGCTGGGGAGGTAAATGAGTGGTGCAGTGCCCCCCCGCCCCCCAAAATCACAGCTCTCACTCACTCATGTATGTTTGTACCAGTAGATGGAAAGACCAGTTTGTGGTCAGCACCACCATGAGGTTCAGAGAGCTTTGAGGCAGCTTAACTGGTGGCTAGACACTACCTGTTTTGAATCTTGATTCTGCCACTTGCCAGCCATGTGAGTTTTGGGGTTAGTGACTCCACTTCTTCAGGCCTCAGGGTATTTGTCAAACTGGGGAGGAAGATTTGCTATGATTTGAATATATTCCTCCTAAGTTCATGTGTGAGAAACCTCATCCCCAAATTCCTGTTAATGGCATCTGCAGGTGGGTCCTTTAAGAGATAATTGGAATTAGATGAGATCTTGAGGCCCCCCTGAGAGCAGCAGCAGCTTTTTAAGAGGAAGAGAAACCTGAGCTGAGCTTGCTCTGTCTTGCTGTAGGATGCCCTCCACCTTGTTAAGAAAGAGCAAGGAGCCTGTTGTGGTGGTGCACGCCTGTAATCCCAGAGACCTGGAAGGTTGAGGCAGAAGGATCGTAAGTTCAAAGCCAGCCCCAGCTACTTAGCAAGACCCTAAGCAACTTAGTGAGACCTTGTCTCAAAATAAAGAACAAAAAAGGCTGGGATGTGGCTTGGTGGTTAAATGCCCCTGGGTTTGATCCTTGGTACCAAAAAAAAAAAAAAAAAAAAAGGAGCAAGAAGGCTCTTACCAGGTGCCAGCCACACTCTTGGACTTCCCAGCACTCTAGAGTGCCAAATAAACCCTATTCTTTGCAAAGGTTTCAAGTATTTTGTGTAAAATGGACTAAGACAGGGAATCTAAGTACTTCCCTTACAGGGCTGGAGAACTTGTGAATTAACACGGGTAAGGGGGTTGGCAGACCTACGTGCTCTCAGATGGGACTTGAAATACCCAGAAGACATGGTAGGCACCTAGCCTAGGTCCTGGGACTCTCCCCTGAGGAAGTGGTACCTAACACTCTAGGGACTTGAAAGACCAGTAAGGCCAGTAGGCAGAGCATGAGGAACAGCCTAGGACAAGCAGAGGGGAGCTGAGTGGGAAGCATTTAGTTTCTGTTCTGTGAGCAGAAGTGGGGCAGAAGGGTCCAGGAAGGAGGCTCCTGCAGATGTCCAGCAAGGTCATGGTGGCTTAGAAAATGTAGTCCTTGGAGAGAAGGAGGTGGATGGCACACTCAGGTGGGCTGTGCAGGACACAGGATCTGGAGATAGGAATCAATGGGTATTTGATCTGGAAGAGACAGGCTTGGGCTTGAACTTGGGACAATGTCCAGGCTTGAATGGGAAGGGTGGGGGGACCCTGATGAAGGATCTCTAGGTGGAAAGCTCTCAGAGATTCAGCCCAGACCTTTAGGTATCACACAGAAAGAGAAGTTGGGGCACTCTTTAAATGGTGACAGATCCAAGGGGCAGTCAGGCACCCACACCCCAGCTAGTTGCTGGACTCTCGTGGTCTGAGCAGCAGGGCCTGGCCACAGAGGCCAGCCTGCACCCCACCAGTGGGCACCACATACACCAGTCCATCAGTTGCCCTTGAGGGTGAGAAGTCTGTCAGCTGCAGGTTGCTATCCCGGACTTGGTCATAGTCCCACAGCTGGTAGTGCCAACTCTTGCCCTGCTTGGAGAGAAGGAAGACAGCTCCCGGGAAGCCTTCTTCTGGCATGGATGGTGGCCGGCAGGGCACGCCAGGCTCGGGATGGAAAAGGCCAGGCAGCTCAGGGTCCTCAGTGTAGCCGAGGCTTGGCACACTCTGCACACCCAGCAGTACCCCTGGGAAATATGAAGAGATGAGTGGCAATGCCCTGATTTCTTCTCCCTCCAACCCTCCAAGGAATGTGCTGCCTCAATCCCCATGTAACAGAGAACGGAGAACAGTGGGCACACCGGTGAGCTGGATTGAGACCCGGGGCACTTGGCTTCAAAGCTGCAGACATTTTAAGTCCCACTTCCCACAAGCTCAGGGCAGGTGGCATGGTAGCACTTGACAGAGGAAACACCATCATCTCCAGCTGTCTGGGAAAGATAGGTTTAGAGAGAGAAGGTCTCAAGGCCACAGAGTCATGAAGAGGCCCAGCACATCCTCGATCTTGGCGTCCTGACATGCACAAATCTGGTCTTTCACGCAAATGGAATGATGATGACAATAATGGTGACATTTACTGAGCCATGTAATGTGCCAAGTGCTACTCTTGAGTTTTAGGTGGCCTTCCTATAAAGCTGCCTTATGAGGTAGGTTCTACTGTCACCAATTTACAGATGGGAAACAGAGCCCCAGAGAGGTGAAGAAACTTGCCCAGAGTCACAAAGCCTAGAAGTGGCTGGGCTGGGCCCAGAGCCCAGGATGCCTGACAGTTGAGTCTGCACTCTGAGTTCCTGTTTGTGGAAATCCCAATGGCCAGCCGTCTGAGGCACCTGCTGCCTGCCAGGTCTTGTGCTCAGAACCCAGTGGGGAAGGATGGCCCAGCACTGGTCCATGATGTGAGTGCATGGCCTGGCTGTGTAGGTGTCAGCCCAGGAGGGAGAATGTGAGAGGGTTAATGGGCCTGGGAAGATGCAGGGGGAGGGGCACAGGGGCAAAGGAGGGGACACTCACCTGCACACACTGCCCAGTGGGCCTTGTGGCCCTTCTTCTGACACGGTTCGTGGTTGAAGTCCTCATCGTAGCTGGTGCTGGTGTTAAGGTCAAAACCATGGGACGGTCCTGAGACCCACCCTTGCCATACTTGCCCTGCTCACTCCTAGACCCTGGGATACGGGATAAGCAGGGGATATCCAGTGATAAGGTGCTGCAGGACAAGGTCTCTGTTGGGACCACCCAGGCCGCCACAGAGCAGCTCGGTTTGACAGCTCAATGTCTCCTGGGCCAGCCTGCCCATATCAGCCACTGTAGGTGAGAGCACACACAGAGATGGCTTAGCACGTGCCCGGCCCCCTGTTAACAAGACCCATGTTTCTATCCCTCACCATGCCCATCAGCTCTGAGGCACAAATCCAGAAAGGGGGTCAGCCCCAAGTTCATGGTCACAGAGAGGAGGTGGCAGAAGGCAAAGAGACAGGCCAAGGAAATGGAATGAGATCCCCCTCACTCGTGCCTACAGCAACCCACCAACTTCCTGGTTCCTTCCTAGGGAAAGCCAATGAAGCCGGGGGCTTGGGACCCTTCCCGACCCAACTCACCAGAAAACATCTCTCCCTGGGCAGTGTAGCCTCTCTCCTTGGCTACCTGCACCAGTCTCTCCAGGGGGATGCCGCTGGTGGGTGATAGGAGAGTGCCTGCCATCCACAAGGCCACCAACCCACATCTGGAAGAGACAGGTCTTGACCCTCAACCCTTATTTCATGCCATTACTGGGCTCCCTTTATCCCTGGAGCAGGAGTGGGGAACAGGTTTGCTGCTCTGGGGGAGCTCTCTTTCCCCTTCCCAGGCCAGGCAAGGATACCTGATTCCCTGTTATGACAGAGGATGGCCCAGGCCTGAGCCCAGGGCTAGAGGGTGCGGACAGAAGTCAAGGACGCTTATTGGGAATAGGGGCCAAAGTAGAATTAGACCAATGGACCAGGTTCATTTGTTCCCTCAATTGGAGCTCACTCGCTTGCTTGTGTGTTCCACTATTCACTAAGCATGCCCCAGGCCCCGCAGGGCAACGTTCTCCTCTCCCTCTCCTCTCCAAGCTGGGAGTCTTCCATACTCCCAGGTGAGTCCTCAGGAAACCCAGGGAGGGCAGAGCCAGGGCAGGTCCCACACTGGGGCACTTACTGAGGGCCTTCTTGGATGAGGGAGGGCAGGTCACCACAGAAGAGGATCCACTGCAAGTCACTCCGGAACCTGAAGTAGAGCCACATGAAGGTCACAAGGGAATAGCTCTGAGGGTTCCCCTTGAGGTCCAGCTGGCAGCAGGTGGACAGGAAAGGGAACACAAGGAACAGGCCTGAGGGCTTATCCTGGCTCAGTCACTGACTTCCTTCTCTCCCGATGAGGCACTTAATTTCACTGAGCCTCAGTTTCCTCATCTGTTTGGGGGGAATTGTTCTTTTGCCTGCTCCCTGCCTTCTCCCTAGAGTTGAAGGGCAAAGAGCAGATGTATAAACTTTGCAACTAGGAGTCAGAAAAATTTGAGGGAATGTTTCAAAGAGGTGTCTTATACCAAAATTCTGTGATATTTTCTTTTTCTTTAAAGTCTGTTAAACAAGGTGAAAGTCAAGATGAAAATCTCTAAATTCATCCTTGAATAAAACTGGGTAATAACAAGCTTAAGGCCTAAGAGATCACCTTGATAATCAATCTTTGCAGGCCTGACCAGCCCCACCCTGGTTCCCAGTATGGGATGTCTCCTGGCAAAGGGGAATGACACCACAGCAGGGTGGTTAGAAGCACCACACCCCCTGCCAAAGTTCAAAGGGGCCTTTCTCGTTGCACCGTGGCTAAGTGACTTCACCACTATAAACCTCAGTTTTCTCATTGTGGAAATGAGATGTTCTTATCTTATGGGGTTGCTGAGCGTCACAGTAACTTAATACTTAAAAACACAATAATATCTGATACATACTAATCATGCACATGCACTGACAAGCAGTTTTTGCATTCAATTTGCCTCACAGTGGCTTGGGTAGTAAGGGCTGGAGAGTTCAGGAGTTCCTTTGTGCATCTGGGCAAATTCTTTTTTCTCTTTTCTAAATCATGTCCCTAGGAAATGTCTAGCCCCCTTCCCTCCCCTACTGTCAGAGTCCCTGGATGCTCCCTGAGACCCTGAACTCTTGTCATGAGGCAAAGCCTCTCCTTGACTCCCCAGTGTCCTGGAAAGTCCAACTCCCTTCACAAGGCCCACCATATCCCATGTGAGCTGGTTCGCCCACCTTCCCAGGCCCATCTCTGCCCTGTGTCTGTCTGGTTAAGGAGCATTTGCAGTACCTGAAAAAGAACATGTCCTCATTTTACTCTGGGCCTCTGCCCAAGCAGTACACTCTCATCACATCCTTCCTACCTGACTTGCTCAGCTATGCTGGGGTTCCCCCCCTCCAGAAGCCCCCTAGTGACCTCTCAGCCTGGGTCAGGCGGTGTCTTAAGGCTCTGTCATCACAGCCCTGATCATTCTAGGCTGTGGAAATTTCTGCCTCTGGAGTAGGCACTTTTGAGAGCAGCTTTCTTCACTGTGGGGGGCGCACCACTGCTGAAGGGCCTAGGCAGGGAACTAGAACCACGAGAAATGGGAAAACTGGAGAGGAGATGGATGAAGGGACCCGGGGACAGGTGGTCTGGTCAGACCCTGGGTGGATAGGGAGGGGCTGGAAGACCCTACCGGTCCTTGTGCAGCCTCAGGAGCCTCTTTACATCTTCTCTGCCGGTGGGGACTGGGCCTGCCTTCTCCAAGGCCTCCTTCAGGAGCTGGCTCTTCTCCAGGCCGTAGACGTGAGGGGGAGCACCCCTAGAGGCAGGAGGTGGAGGAGGCAGTGGGGGTGGTGGGGGAATATGGGACTGGAGACTACAAGGTTGGGGTAGAAAGGCCAAGTTCAAGGGACTGGGGGGTAGGGGAGGAGTTGGGACGATGGAGGCTTGAGGTTCAGGAGATCTTCGAAGTGGGATTGAGGGTTCTAGGGAAGACGAGCATGGAGAAGTCATTTTGGGGTCTATAAGATGGGCTGAGGGGTGGAGAATGGGAAAGGAGGATCCTCCAAAAGGATCCTAGATTTGAAAGGTTTTAGAACTGAGTTCTAGAGTCTGGGAGCTGAGCAGCAGGTCAGAGAAGACCAGCGCTAAAACCTGGAACCATGGGAGGAAGAACCAGGGTTGACTCAAACCCTGAGGTATCTCAGGGTCAACAGAGTGGGGTTCATAAATCCAGAAACAGATTTATGGCATGGAACTGAGGTGGGTTGGGCTGCATTTCGAGACTTATTAAGGGAAAATGTGCATGCATTATTTTATTCTCTGGGACTGGATTTAGGGAATTCCTGGGTCAATCTTGAGATATGGGGCGCCTGCATGGTGAGACCTAGAACCTGGGGCTAGAGAATGGAGGAATTAAGACTCTGTCTCCCCTTCACATCCCAAACCCGAGTTCAGAAGCTTGAAGCTGACCTTTGAGCCAGAGGTCAAGAGGTCAAATCGGACACTGGGTAGGGAAAATGGTCTAGTGCGGAGAAGGTCCTGGAATCAACAATGGGCAAAGTCCGTAAGTTGAGGAGAAGGCTGAGTTCGGTGGCCCGACGGAGTCGCAATATCGCTGGGATAGGGAATGGCGTCTGGGAAGCAAAACGCGTCTCCTTGTGCGCGAAATGGCGTCCCCGCACACAGATTTTCCTGTGTCGTAGGGCAAAACGCGCGGCGCGTGCCCACCCCTTTGGCGATCACGTGACAGAAGACACGCGGCTGTAGGGAAGAGGTGGGACTTTCAAAGGACTGCCTCCGGAAGAGACTAGGGCACGAGCCGCGTCCCCATTGGCAAAAAGCTCGTGACGTTCGCTGATTGGTCTGTAGGCTCCGGCGCGACTGAGGCCGGACTCCTTGCAGAGGGGCGGGACTTTTCTGTTGAGGCGGGAACCCAAGTGTGGTTTTGATTGGCAAGTTCAGGGCCCAGGGACGACGCTTCCTCCGATTGGTCGAACTACTGAATTTCCCGGCAGGGATTGGATTGCATAAAAGGAAAGGCGGAGCCAGAAGAGGAATCCTTGTGGTCTGGTTTGAAGAACGTACCTGGCGCCACTTGGGGGACTTGAGGCCCTGTCGGTAAGTTTTCTCGGGCCCAAGCGGCTATTGGCGCCAGGAAGGCGGGAGGAGCACTTGGCGTCCGGCCTTCCCGCACCTCGGTTGGGGAAGCGTTCTCGCTGTGCGAGGCCATGATGTCCAAAAGCTTCCCTGCTTTCTTAAACTGGCTCTTACATCCGGGTTTCCCCTCGGACCGCCCTTTGGGTGCGTGAGCCAATGGGAATTGCCACTTGGGACGCTCCGCCTGCCGGGCCGCGTAGAGCATCCCGGGATTTGTAGTAAATTTCTCGAGATTTCTCTCAGCACGCGGGCCGGAGGAGCGGAATCCCTGGCTCGCATTGTTGCCCAAGCTGTGCCTTCACCCCCAACTCCTGTCTTACCTGACTTCCTCTTGGAAGGAAGATCCCTAAGTAGAGTCTTTTCTCTCCGTTCGGGAGAAAGGATTTGGAAAAACCCAAGTCTTAACTCACCCTCTTCCTTCTTTAAGCCGTACCTCGGTACCTCTCTCCATGGCAGTTCCCGAGACCCGCCCCAACTACACTATTTATATCAACAACCTCAATGAGAAGATCAAGAAGGATGGTGAGTGCTCGCGATGCGCTGGACCATGGTCTATCGCGCATGAGCTTGTCCCTTTCCACCTCAAGTACCTGCTTCTCTTTCTCCGTCTTCTTCAGACAAACGAATAAGTTAACTCCGTGGTCTTTGTACATACTGCTTCCTGTGTCTTCCGCATACATCTAACACTCTTCCCTGTAACCGGTCGCTGTTGATAATCCTTTAAGATTTTAGCTTACAGGACTCCCCCTCCAGGAAGCCCTCCTGGATCTGCTCTCCCATCACGTGGCTGCCACTGATTTCCCATAGGTCCTGGGTATGCCCACTCAAGCCAGGATCACTCTACAGTCATGCTGTCTTCCCTCTGGCCTGTAAGCTCTGTAAGGGCTGATACTGAGGTTGTCTTGGTCATTTGTGGAAATATATATTAGTGATGGTTAACACTCTGAACCAGGGACTAATTTATGTATTTGTGTAATTTTTAATTTTCAAAATAGACCCGTAGGAGGGCACTACTGTCATTCTCATTTCTGAGACTGGGAAAGTGAGACTTAAACTTTATTTTTAAAAATATTTTTTTAGTTGTGTATGGACTCCGTGCCTTTATTTGTTTTTATGTGGTGCTAGGATTGAACCCAGTGCCTCACACTTGTGAGGCAGGTGTTCTGCCACTGAGTCACAACCCCAGCCTAGGAATTTAGGTTTTTTTTTTTTTTTTGTACCAGGGATTGAACTCAGGGGCACTCGACCACTGACCCCATCCCAGCCCCTCTTAGAGACAGGGTCTCACTGAGTTGCTTAGTGCCTTGCTTTTTACTGAGGCTAGTTTTGAACTCACCATCCTTCTGTCTCAGCCTCCAGAGCCACTGGGATTGCAGGTGTGCGCCACCGTGCCCGGGACTGAATTAATCAGTTCTTGAAATCAGAAAGACACTTCCACTTTCTTTAGTAAATTTTCACCTTTATTTATTTATTTTAATCTTTATTTTGTTTATTCATTTTTATGCGGTGCTGAGGATCGAACCCAGTGCCTTACATGTGCAAGGCAAGCCTTCTGCCACTGAATCACAACCCCCGTCCAATTTTCACCTTCTCTGAATCTTATTTGAAAACTGGGCAAAATCATAACTTTTTTTGAATGAATGTTTTGGGATCAGATTAACTAAACCTTTGCGTAGTGCTTCATTTCATGGTACCCAGCAGTTAGTGGGGGTGGAATAAAAGCTGTTATTAAACGGACTTGGGTGGCACACCGCTGTAATCCCAGCCACTTGGGAAACTGAGGCAGGAAGATTGCCAGGTTTGAGACCAGCCTCAGCAATGTTCAATCCTTGATACAAACAACAAAAACAAAAAAACAAACTCATGACTTCCAGAAAAATTTTAGGAGAACCAAAGAATGTCACTGGGATTAAATAAGAGATTACCAACAACATTTTTGTTAAACCAAAACAAGGGCTGGGTGGTGGTGTGTGCCTATAATCTCAGCAACTCTGGAGGCTGGGGGCAGGAGGATTACAAGTTTGAGGCCAATTTGAGCAATTTAGTGAGGCCCTGTCTCAAAACAAATTTTTAGAAAGGACTAGGGATATAATCTCTTTGAAGTACTTGTCTACCTCTGGGTTCAGTCCCAAGTGCTGTAAAACCCACTAAAACCTAGGAATGAGGCTGGGGTTTATAGCTCAGTTGGTAGAGTGCTTGCCTCACATACTCAAGACCCTGGGTTCAATCCTCAGCACTACACACACACACACACTCTCTCTCTCTCTCTCTCTCTCAAAACACCTAGGAATGTAAATTCCATGTATTCTTTAAGAATGTCATGCTCAGCCTGTACTGCACAGTGCTGTGGACTCACTGGTGACCAGGAGTCCTGGTTCTGCACCACTAGTCTTTGAAGCTCAGAGTTGGGAGGGCCATTATGGGGGCGGGAGGCACAGGCAGAGTGGAAAGCTGGGATTGGAAGCCTAGAAAAGAGGTAGATTCATTTGGCTTGATAGGAAATATTTTGGAAGAACTTTCCAGGTAGAGGAAGTGGTATGTGTATTACCATGAGATAGAAGACTGTGTCATATTTGCACCAGGATGTGCAAATGTCTAGGGTGAAAGAGCCTGAAGCATTCTGGGAATTACAGGTAGTTTGGATCTGAGGCTTAGAGGCCTGTAAATATTGGAGAAACTTCCCAGTGAGCAGCGCACTGATGGCTTACAGGGCTCGTGGCCGTGGGGAGGGAGGCATGGAACTTTATTCTGAGGGTGTTGGGAAGCCACGCTGCTCCTTGTCTTGGTTGTGTCCCTTATAGAATGTCTTCCTGACTGGAAGGCAGACTTGAATGGGCAGGAGTAGAGGCAGAAGAGGGAAAAGTCCGGAGGCCAGGGGAGTGACGGATGTCTAGACTGCCTCAGGGGATGGAACACGAGAGGAAAACCAGAAATGTCCCCACCAGGGGAATTTTTGGCAGATTCCTTCAACGCATCCTTGACCCTTGTCTCCCCCAGCACACGCACAGCTGTGTCTCTGGCACCTTTTTTTTTTTGCCTAAGACCTTGTTACAGTTTTCACAAGACGGTTCCTGTGTTTTGTTCAAGTCCCACTTGCTGTAAAACAAGACAGTTTGCTGGGGAGGTGTTTGGGGGGCCTGGTTCAGATGAAATTGGGTTGTGGAGCTGGCGCCGTCATGTTCTCAGCACTGTCAGTGTTGGATCCTGTGAGAGCCTGATTCTTCTTAGTAAAATTGGAAGTCAGTGATGACACCTCGTGGGATTTTTGTGAGGATTTTTATTTTACCTTATTTATCTGTATGAGGGGCTAAATTGAACCCAGTGCCTTCCACATGGTAGGCAAGGCTGTACCACTGAGCCCCGCCCAGCTCTTTAGTGAGGATTTATGAAGTAATTTCCATGTAACATTTCGCAGTATCTTTTTCTTTTTGGTACCGGGAATTGACCTGAGGGGCACTTGACTAGACCTATTTTGTATCTTATTTAGAGACAGGGTCTCACTGAGTTGCTAAGTGCCTCGCTTTTGCCAAGGCTGGCTTTGAATTCACAATCCTCCTTCCTCAGCCTCCCAAGCTGCTGGGGTTACAGGCATGTGCCCCCATGCCTGGCTTTTTTTTTTTTTTTTGTACCAGGGATTGAATCTGGGGCCACTTAACCACTGAGTCAGACCTTTTTTCGACATTAATTAGAGACAGGGTCTTGCTAGTTGCTTAGGGCCTCTCTAAGTTGCCAAGGCTGGCTTTGAACGGGCCATCCTCCTGCTTTAGACTCCCGAGCCACTAGAGATTATGGGCATGTGCCATCATGCCCGACATTATATGGTATTTTTACCCATGTATGTTTGTGTGCTGGAGTCTGACCTAGGCATGGGGAGACTGCAGCAAACAACTCAGAGTGGCCTGTAGCTGTGAAGACAGTGAGTAAACATTAGGTCAGGAGTTGGAAAATGTCATGAAGTAAAGGCAAATAGGATAAGGTGAGAGGCAGGAGGAGGGACACAGAGTGATGTGTTGACACGGTGGTCAGAGAAGGCTTCTAGGAAGTGGCAACATTTCTGTTGAGACCTGAATGATTAGAAGGAGGCATCCGTGGAAACATCTAGAGAAGGTGGTTCCTTTCTCCAGCTAGTACAGATACCTGGTGGTAGATGGGTGTGTTTGTCTTGAGAAAGGGCTGGGAGACCAGTGTGACTGGAGGCTTGGGGGTGAGCTGGTGTTTGGGCAGACATGAGTTTGGGAAACTTACCAGGACGGCATTGAGAGGGCCTGTGTCAGGATGTGAGTGGCAACGGAAAGAAGTGCCTGTCTTTAAGGAGCACTGTGCACTGGGCATTCGTGTTCCTCCTGGCAGCTCAGCAGGCAGGTGTCTTGAGGTCCACTTCTTGTAGAAGAACGTACTCAGTCACTTGAGTGGTCCTTGGCAGGCTGCTGCTCTTGTTGGGGGGGTCTTCAGAGTTTACTGCCTGTGGCATTCTGGGTACCTTCTCAGTTGGCCTTGTGCCTGGGCCGTGCCTCTCTGAAAATAGAAGCTCTCCGTCGCTCTTTCTTTTCCTGACTGCTCTTTCTTTTCCTGACTGCAGAGCTGAAGAAGTCCCTGTATG